CAAGCCGAAGTTAAGGTTCTAACCCTAACAAACTGGGCAATGCAACGAAGCCTAATTGTAAGCATAACTTAAAACTGACATCTGCCAAAAACACAAATTTGACAGTGCTTATGTTAGGCTAAAACTCGTCGAGTTTGAATTTAAAAAAGAGATTACAAATGGTTTTAGCATGTGTTTTTTTAACGCAGCGTTTATATAGGAAAGTAATCAATCACCATGAATGCTCGGCATTGATACCCATTCGTCCATTTCTATAAACGATGAAATTGAACGATTTGTCGAACCAACGATCCTTCGCGTTTCCGTGCAACAAATCGCACGCCCAATGGTCCAATTTTGACTGATCGTTCTGCAAAAATAAACCATACTAATAATTACTGCAGTACTGATGACTATCATACTGAACGTAACTGCATTTGAACACTATACAAGAAATCAACAAGGAATACAAACAATCAACAAGGAATCAAAGACCTCACCTCATCATATTCAACCTCCTTATCGTCCAAGATCATCACAAAAGCGGCACGTTCAATCGCATGCAACGATGTCTTGTTTGTACCAGCCGAGAAGAACTTCTTTCTTGCATGCGCCCAATCCGTCCTTCCACCAGCCGTCAAAACGGCCAGGTGCTCCTCACCGGGCGCTGGTGTTAGCTCACCGTCAATAATCGACTGGAACGCTACTTGCAATTCGTTTGGTTCGAAGAGTCTGGAACACAATTCTTTGCAAATGACTAAACACACCAAATGATAATTGTAATAACAATGCAATGACAACAGCGAGTATCGTAATAATGTTAACGTTAACGTAATATTACTGATAGTAATAATACCATTGCAATAATAATACTGATAATATTAATAATACTGAGATCACAAAAAAACGATTATTCTAAAAAACTCATTTGCAGAGAAATTGGAATTCAGAATTTTCAACATTGCAAAAATAATCCAATTTTTCAGTAAACAGTAAGACATTAGCAGCAAACCTTTTGCCATTATGAATCGGTATTTTGAACCAACACCCTTTGCACAATACGGCAATATGCTTCGAGTCATCCCAATGGAAGAACTGATCAGTTTCTTCACCCGGAATGCGACAACTGTTGAAGATTCGCTCGTATTGCATCGAGCAAAACGGTACTTTAGCGCGAGTAGCGATTGCATACTGAATGCACTTTAATGTATTCATTTCGAATCAGTTCATTCTCAAATCCAATCCAGAAGTATAATCCCGATCAAAATGTGAGTAAACTGATAGTGATAATACCAGTGATATTATATTGATAACGAATTCCAAACGTTTATCATGCAAACAATTTGGACTGATTTTGGTCTAGTCGAAATTCGAACTGCTTACCGGTTTAACTTCTTGTCTCTCGACCATTCTCCTAAATTTCAACGCCACATAAGTGATATTCGCAGCTCGTGCTGCTTGACAATTCGTTGGATGTCCCCGTAGCGTATCAAAGCCGTAATAGTTACTGTTGATCATGATCGGTGATCGCTGTCGCAAATAAACGAATTCCTCCCACCAATCGGTGATGTAATTGATCGACAAAATCCATTTGATCACCAAATATCGCTGCAGACGACGCCCAATTCCCTTACTAAATTTATGCGTCAACTCAACCAGCTCATCGTATTCTTCGTCTGTACATATGGGACGCATTGATGTCAAATGCTGAAAGTTCTCACAGAGCTGAATAACAATTTCTAAAACGCAATCTGACCATCTATTCCATGGCACGTTTCAAAACTCACTGAATTTACTTCGAACTAAATCACACAATTCACAAAATTCATAATGATCCGAAATCCTCGAACTAGCCACATTCACAATTCCTAGCCTCATATGCTTTGTCCAAATTCAAATGCATCTGGTTGAATCAATGCGATACAATAAAGCAACCCGAATGTTAATATTACAAAACAACGTTAAGTGATTATGAAAATAACGTTAACAATGTCTCAGAGCATGAATATTACCTTGTCGAGAGTCTCTTGTAGACTCGGCAATGGTAAATGCGGTAACGCTCCTTGAAATGAATGTAGCATCGGGTCACTCTTCGAAATGAAATGCAAGGCTTGCTTAAATTTATTCATCATTACATTTGTTCATTTTATAAGAACTTTTTGAAAGATTTTCAGTGATCAAATAGTTTTATGTGATCAGTTTATTGATCAGTTTATCAGTTTACTTTATTGATCAGTTTATCAAGTTTTTTTATGTGATCATCAAATTTTCAGTGATCAGTGATCAAGTTTTATCCATTCCGTTTGATTCACTAAGCGCACAGTCTTGTTCCAAACGAAACAAAAATCTCTTCAAATCTTTAGGCGAAAATTTTTATAGTTAGACAGGAAATAACTTACGAGCCATATTTTCGATTTATTCGAAATGGACTTCAGAGGATCCTCATAGAGCCATCCTTTGTATGATAGGAAAGCTTTTAGGCTCAATCGAATCGCTTGAATTGCAACAAACCATATCAATGCACCACATATTACGAGCGATAACATTTGTGATATCACTCCATCACTGTAAAAGACTTATATGTGCTAGAGTAATAGCAAAAAGTAATAATGACCTTAAAAAGAAAAAGAAAACATGAACTTTCATAACAAGAAATTGATGAGAATTTTAAAATTCCGAAAATTTTTCACAACATTTGAATTTTCTAAAATAGAAATTTGAAAACTTTTCTTTTAGGATAAAAATTAAATCAACAAATATGAACTTTAAAAAGTTTCGTACCCAAACAAAAATGCAAACAGATAATGCTGCACAAATGGTACGATTCCAAACGATAGGTCACGACGGAATACCGAAAAGACTGTCAACGAAATGATAACTGCACAGAACGAGTAGGTATTGGCCGGAAATATTCCCGTAATGAAATCGTTCTGAAATATTTTTTGAAAATATTAATAACGGCTATGAAAAATGAACTCCACCAACTTATACTCAAAAAAACATAAAAGTAAAAGCCAGCTGTACAGGGCAGATCACATCCTCATTGTTAGACTTGAGACAATACCAATTTATTAATTAAACAACCATGATTCGAAGAATTTTTTATGCTGTCTGTCACCATTCCCAAACCATATCATCAATCACTCCATATGTTTTCATTATTCCCCCATCTCAATTTTCAACATTAACCTTACAATCAGCTTTACACTGAAGTTAGAATTAACTTAAACTCATGCCGTCCTACTGCAAACTGCTACTGCTTCTATACCTCCAAAACAATTGTTTTAAACATTCTTCATTGCAAATTGGCCACAGTTTGATCATGCAATGCATTTCCCTTAATCATTCATAGCAATCAGAAGTATTCCAGATTCAAAAGTTTTCTCTCCACATGCGAATGTTCGCAATTTCTTTGACATGATAGATCGATGCGCATAAATTAATTGTCCACCTTCTTTCTATGAACTAACTCCTCACTCTCATCATGAATACCATCATACAAAACGTGTGTTCATATCATGCAATCTCTTATATGTATCATGCAAACATGCACAGTGTCACCATCTTCTCCCTTTCCTATCTTCAATCGAATACAATACAGTGCTGATGATCAACGTCCAAGGTACAAAGGTGAACTATCATAAACAATAAATCACCACGTGTTCACTTAATTGTTTACGCTGAATTGTCAAATTTGTAGAATTTTTACGGCTACTTTATATTGAGTGCAAAGAATACATTTCATCTTTATCCTTATTTTTTCATAATTTACAGTTATCACTAACATTTTCTACTTTCTTATCTGTTAATCGTTACCATCATGGGCTATCTCATTGGTATCGACATTACAATCGCCCTCTGTCACTAATACTATTAATTGTAAGAATCGCCCTTGCGCATTTGCATACTCGATTAATATTCCTTTCAATAGAATACGCGTAACAATCATTTGAATCGCTCGAATAAAATTCAGCGAAATCCACTCAATTGCATTCACTATCAGAGATTATCCCACTGAGCATTGGATGTCTACTTAACCGATGCACAGATGAAGAAATTCATGAATAAATCATCAATTGCCTTTAAAATGCTGCACGTTTATAATGCTATTTGTACATGAAAGACCAATCATAGTAATAAATTTGTTACAAAATGAAAAACGACAGAATACATAAACATGTACTTATGAATGAAGAAAGAACTTTGTGAATAGCAAACATGTAAAGAAAGAATGAACAAGACAGCAAAAAACATGAAGAAGATGAATCAAAAATCAACCTTAAATCGTGCTAAACGTCGTTTGTATGCCCTCGTAAAGGCATGCCAAATGTCACGAAGAAGTTCTTGATCATATGAAACCGACACACCGTCGTGGGTTAGCGTGAACGATAGCGCAGCTACGCTATGTGCTTCTGCCATATTTCTGAAATTCCGAACCATCAGAAGCTATCACTCAAAAATTCACTATTGTAATAGAACGCGCGCCTCATTTCAAAGCAGCTCAATCTCACGCCCGAGAAGAAGCCCCGTCATACAGCAGTAACAAATAAATTTCCGCAAACATCAAAATAACACGAATAGAACTTCAATATACGTTAGATGTTACACGTTTTCGCAAAGAGACTTCAAATCCAATCATATAAATTAACAAATTTACAAACGAAAGCGATCGAAACCCCATGAGAATCATTACTTTTGCTCCCCTTCTTCCTGATCGGAATTTCCTTCCATGATGGGGTATCTCCTCTTCTTACACGACAAAATGCCCCAGATAAAGTCTCAGTCAGTTGGAACGCTATTCCCACACGACCATCAGTGAGAAGTCTCGAATGAATGAAAGTCTGGAATGATCGAACATCGCAAACTCAGATAAACACTTCAAGCTTTACAAGACAATAGCCCAGTGAGTCAACAACAACGACATCAAATTAACGATTAACGACTCGAGCGATTAAATTCGAGATATCAAAAAAAACAAAGAAATTAATCAGAATCAAAGCGTTCGTCAGGATTTAATCGACATTCGCAAAGAAAGGAATTAAGTCGTCCTAAATCTTTCCTCTGATAAACAAGTTGATTAATTTGTTGTTCAAGAAGCTAACATGCTGTCGCACGTCATCTAGATTGTTTATCAGTCGCAATGTGGTGACGCAGTATTGGTGACGTAGATACTTAATCAATAGACACAAGCATAAAAGCCAATCTGGATTAAGCCACTCCTCAAATCCCTGATACACTAAAGTGAATAAATCTATGGCTTGAGGGATTTACTCGTTAGTTATTGCATATTTTTTTGGAAATTTTCAATAATCGAGATTGATCTGTTGAATTTAGTGAATATACGTTGGATAAAAGATCTGAATCGAATCTAGCAAGTGCTCCAGGGCATAGATAATAGATTGGTTGGCAGTGCAACACTGCTGGATGTGATGTTGGCATATGGATGAAAGAATTCAATCGATTTGCAGTAGTTTGCAGAAATTCTCTCGAAACGCCTATTGGATGAATAATCGCACATTGCTCCGATTACACTGCAATTGATGGGGGGAATGCCTCGTTTGGAATTCTAGACTAAGCGATTCGAATACGCGTAAAACAACAATAACGAAAGCACGATGACATGTCATTTACGAAATATGTAAATTCAATTGTGAATACAAATGTGAACGATAGGACATTCATGTTCATTTTCAACATATAAACAACGATAAGATTTCTATCTTCTTAACTCTGTCGCTGCAATCAATAAATTCTACCACCTAAGTTTGAAAAATGTTTAATGTCATTAAATGACTTTCGTTTATTTCTAAATGACTGTCATCTTATATACCTAATACAATAA